TACATGTCATTGGAATTCCAGAACAGGAAGAGAAAAATGAAACCACTGAGAAAATTGTCCAAGAATTTGTTGGAAGAGAACTTCCCTGATAGGATGAAAGATGAGAATATATCCATTCAGGAAGTCCAACAAACCCCAAACAGGATAGACCCCAAAAGAAAATCATCAAGACATAGCATCATCAAACTCACTGAAACCAAAGACAAAGAAAGAATCATGAGAGCAGCACAGGAAAAACAAAAAGTTACCTACAAGGGTCAACCAATAAGAGTAAGTTCAGATTTCTCAACAGAAACTATGCAGGCAAGAAGACAGTGGGATGGTATATATAAAACATTGAAAGAGAAAAATTTCCAGCCAAGAATTATGTACCCAGCAAAACTGTCCCTCAAATAGGATGGTGAAATTAGGACACTTCCAGATAAGCAGAAATTAAGGGAATTTGTTAAAACCAGACCAACCTTACAAGAGATGCAAAGGGAGCCCTTTGGACAGAGAAGCAACAACAGCCAACAACAACTCACCAGTAACATACATGATGACATAACCCAGAAACCAACCCAGCTATGGAAGTATCCAAAGTAAATAAGCCTATAAGATTGTCAACAGGGAACCAAAGATACCAACCAACAAATGAGGACAACTACAAACTAAAAAGAGGGAAAAAATCTGTGTCATTATAGAACCTCTAGATGGTAGGGAAGTCAAGAAAACTACAAGATAGAATGGACTGTTCTACACTTGGGAAGAAAACTATAAATCACAAAGAAAAATTATAAATCTTCACATCAAAATAAAAAAGAAGACCAGCATAAATATTCAGCAAATACTAAAGCAGTAATAATGAAGGAAGTGATAACATGATTCATAAACAAAATGAGCTCAGCATAGACAATTACATGGAACAAAGAAATTGACACAATAAAAAAGCACATGACAAAAATGACAGCAACAAAATCATATTTGCTGATAATTACATATCCGGCAAGGGACTTATCTCTAAGACTGATGGAAAACTCCAATGTCTCAACGCCAAAGGAATTAACAATCCAATTGAAAAATGGGCAGAAAACATGAATAGACACTTCACCAAGGAGGATATTCAGGTGGTAAGCTAATACATGAAAAGATGTTCATAATTATTGGGCATCAGAGAGATGTAAATCAAAACAACAGTGAGATATACTGTCTCACCCCAGCACTGATAGCAAGGTTCAATGAGACAGAAAATAACAAATGCTGGTAGGGATGTGGAGATTGGGACTCTCATACACTGCTTGTGTGACTGTGAAGTGACACAACCACTGTGGAAAGCAATATGGCGATTCCTTAGAAAGTTGGAATTGGAGATACCATTTGACCCAGCAACCCCATTACTAGCTAGGTATATATCCTAGAGGGGTGAGAGCCAGGATAGGAACAGATACATGCATGCTCATGTTCATCACAGCACTACTTACAATAGCAAAAAGATGGAAACAACCTACGTGCCCATCATGTAATGAATGACCAAACTATGGTACATACACATACTGGAATGCTATGCAGCATTAAATGGTAATGTACAGTCCACAAAACACCTCATTATATGGATTAACTTGGAGGACATTATACTGAGTAAAATAAGTCAATCACAGAAGGACAAATACAGTATTAGTTCGTTGTTGTGGAGGGTCAAGGAAAAGTTTATATATGGAGAGAAACTTTCTTTGTTGGTTGCCAGGGTAGGAGGGAAAGGGAGAGAACATTGCCCAAAAAAAAAAAAAAAAAAAATGCATTGATCCATGTCACTTTAGTTTTGTGTATTTCAGTACATAAATTATATTTCAATAAAATGCATTTAAAAAAAGAAAAGCCCATTACTGTAAAAAGTCAAGGAAGGGTTTGCTTAGGGAAAGGAACTCACTTTGTAGGTTACCAGGGATGGGAGAGAAGGGGAGGGGATAATTTCAGACTAGTTGGAGGCTACACGCTGAGTTGGGTAAGGGGAGGGATACTACGCAAAGAGTGTGTGACCAGCATGATAACATTGGGGAAAGGGAAGACACCGAGTTCTACACATAAGATATAGACTACAGAGGATATACCAGTATATCCACAATACTGCATTACCATTAACACCAAACACCACACTACAGATAAACACAGACAACTGAGAAGATCAGAAGGGGGTCACTGAACAGGATTATACTCCAGACCAATGACAGATTCAGCGGAGGCTAATCTTGCACAGATACTGGTGATACAAAATACCCGCAGTCATTATAGAAGCAACAGAAGACAGACATAGAGCAATCCCTCATAAACAGCCAGACACTGTGGGAGAAAGACTCACCGGATCTGCCCTCTCAGGACCATAGTCTGGAAACACCAGACTCAACTGGCACAACAAAATACATAATAAATTTTGTTCCACAACCTACTTTGGTGAGTAGCGACTGCGGTCTTAAAAGCTTTCGAGCAGCTATCTAAGATGCTGCTGATGGTGTCGTCTCATCGGAAGTGAAGAAGAGTGAAGAAAACCAAGGGCATTTGGAAACAATCAGCCCTAGGACATAACGGACCCCGGACTAGATGGTACCTGGCTACCAATGCCAACCACTAGAGAAGGGATCAAAACTGGAGATCTTGGATAAAGTGGGAGGAAAAGCGTGGAACAAAATTCAAAAACCCAATAATGACCAGAATGGCTGGTCAGATGGAGTCTGGTGGGACCCCCAAGACTATGGCCCTGGGATATACTTCGGGACTAGGGTAAAACTTACTCCCAAGAGCTGGCTCTCAGCCCAACAGTAAACAAGACTGACATGCAGAACACTCAACCCAGGGCAATGCACCCACCTCCTCTATGGAGATACACCCCTTAGAGCAATCGGCCACGGGGCACCAGAGGTACAACACCGGGGAAAAATTGGACAGGAGTACATAACTAAGAAGGGCATTGGGTGGGGGATGGGGTCACTGGGAAGGGAAACAAGGAGAGCAGGTTAGGGTTAGGGATGGTAACCAAGTGTACACAAAATGTTGAATGTGAAACAAATTCTGCTCTGTAAATTTGCCCCTAAAGCACAATTTAAAAAAAGAAGAAGAAAAGAATTTAGAATTTTTCTTTCATTTGAGATGGTCTGACACACATTTTACAGTCTCACTCTGGCTGCTGGGTTGAATAAGAAGAGCTAGGACAAAAGCAACACTACCAATTAATAATCCAGGAGAGAAGTGGTGGTGGCTTGGATCAGAGAGGTAGGAATGGCTGTGGAAGTGGCCTAATGTGATCAGATTCTGGATATATGTTGAAGGTAGAGCTGAACTTGGATTTTCTAATGGATTTGACGGTGGGTATTGGAGCTCTGGTAGCATAGTGCCTAAGGCATTTGTTAACCAGAAGGCTGGCATTCAAACCCACCATCCACTCCTCGGAAGAAAGGTTGGGCAATCTACTTCATTAGTGATACTGCCTCAGAAACCCAAGGAGGGGTTGCTATGAGTTGGATTCGACTTGACGGCAGTGTGTTTGGTTTTTTTTTTTGTTTATGAGAGGAAGGAGGCAGTCTGGTGGCATAGTGCTTAAGACATTTCACTGCTAATCAGAAGGCTGGTGGGTTTGAACCCACCACTCCTCGGAAGGAAGGTTGGGCAATCTACTTTGATAGTGATACCGCCTTGGAAACCCAAAGAGAGGTTGCTATGAGTCAGATCTGACTCGAAAGCAGTGGTGCTTTTTTTTTTTTTTTTTCCCATAAGTGGAAGGGAGGAGTCAAGGATTGTGTCAAAAGTGGTAGGGAGGAGTCAAGGATTGTGTCAAAAGTGGTAAATATCTACTAAAATTACAAATGCATACCTTTTTCCAGCTATTTTATTTCTGGGAATTTATTCTCCCATATATATGCACACATGAAAAATGATAGGTGTACAAGGTCATTCATAAAAGCAGTGATTCTCCAAGTATGATCCACAGATCCCTGGAGGCAAAAATGTAAACAATGCCACTCTTTTCATTTTGTTTTATTTTGCACAATAGTTATTTTGTTTTTAAAATGTGTTATTTCTCAACAAAATATGTCTATTTGTGTATTAATGAAAAGGCTTAAATTTCTCAATTTTAATTTCTAGTACGATATAAATCCATATAAACAAAAGCTCTTTGAGAATCTAATTAACTGTAAATGTTTAAAGGAGTCCTGAATTCAAAGTTTGAGAATGACTGCATTAAAAACTACTGAATGTTACTAGCAAAAAGATTAAAAATAATCTAAAAGTCCATCAATATGAGAAATAGCTAAATAAACTGTGGTTACCTCCCAACAATGAAAAAACTCAAGAGGATGCCAGGGAGAGGGAAGACACTCAAGGTACTGACAGGGGATGACAAGATGCAGAAAACTGTGGAAAAGGAAGGAAAATAAGAAGATACATTAAAAAAAATTATTTGCATCTAAATCTCCCCTTCTACATGGAACTTTTTAAGACTCAATCTACTGTTCTTCGTATCCTCCTTTGAAGAACAGCAGTAACAACAGAGAGATAGGGAGAGAGATTGTAATGCAAGAAGTTATATTTTAACAATTAATAACTGAGGAAAGTCCGTTTTCTGGAGTTTGAGCAGAGTTCAAGATTTTGAGAGTTCTGAGATGTGACAGCCTACCGGAAACGCTGCCCAAAATTCAGACTCAGAGGGAGAAGTTTGTCCTTGGGCTTATTAACACAATTAACTTTTGTTGTTATTATCTCGTCTCCATCCCGACTGAGCACTCAAAAGAGGCTTCGTTTCCAGCGTGACAGAGCAAGAGGGACCAAAGTAGGGCCTGACGTTGGGCTCTGGATAGATTTGGGCAGTTTGACGAAGGCAGGTACGGGTTGAAAGAATGAACAGTAAAACATTCCTCTGCCCTGACTAGAATAACAACGTCTCCACTGGCTTACCGGTTCTTGCCGCCAGCAAGCCACCAGGCCCCGCAAGGAGCATCATTAAGCGGAACATGGCGTAGCTTCTCGGCTCCGAATGCTGACTGAGGAAGCAGCAGTTGGGCGGCTCGAGTCGGGCGCCCCCGCCCGCCAGCCCCCCAGACGCGCAGCCGCCACTCTATCGCCCGGTAGCGTCCTAGCACGTAGGTGCGGTGCTCTTCAGCCGCCACGGGTATTTAGGCGCCGGGACGCAGCTAGCCCCGCGACGCACGCCCGTCTTAAAATCGGGACGCCTCTCTGCTAAATCCGGCTTGCGTCCATATGACCCACCCTAGTCAGATGGCTCGCTGCTCTGCTGGAGTTATCCAACCGCCCTGATCCGTCTTCCCACAAACCTTTCGCTTTTTGCTGGTAATGGATTTAAAAGGACACATTTATTGTGATTGCTTTATATCAGATACTTGCTATTGTTGTCATGAGAGGTGGAGTTGATTCTTACTCATTGAGACCTCATGTATTACCCAGAACCGCTCCATTGGGTTCTTGGTTATAATCTTTAAGGAAGCGAGTCACCAGGCCTTTTCTTCCGCAGAAGATTTTAACCTACACATTTTTAGTTACTAGCCAAGTACAAACCATTTGCTCCATCCAGGGACCTTCAGTCACTTCAAAAAGCAAATGGGTAATACTTTCTGAATTAAAAAACTATATGCATACAGACATGGACACACACAAAATATACATATGTATTTATATTTACTAAAGCTGGGTTTCTAAAACAGCAATAAACTACTGTCAGTTTTGTGAAAAGATTTCAAGGGAAGATAGAGTAAATTTTGATTACTTTTTGGAGAAGGCCTGCTATTAACTATTTCCACACCCACTGCCCAAATGCACTTTTTAACCAAGCTGTGTCTACTTTTTCCTCCAATTCTTCTGGTTCACTGAAAGCCCTTGGTTAAACTTTGTGATGTCATTCTCTCGTTCAATAAATTTATATAATTGAATATGCATTTATTCATGGTGTAGTGAATGACATGGACAAGATTCTTGCCCATAATTACAGAAGATAATTTGCAGGGGGGGAAAAAAGTAGCCAAATTTCTCAGCAGTTAAAACCTTCTAAATTTGGACCCCAGGCAATTTTCTCCTCTTTCCCCAATGTTTTGACCACCCTGACTTCTGGTTCTTCCTGAACATTGTTGCCTTATCCCTTTGGATTGCAAGGCCCCCCTCCCTCACTCCCAGTTCCCATCTATCTATATGCACTATAAATGTTTTGATTCTTCTTAGAAACTAAAAATGAATTAATTTCTCACAGTAATTAATTAGAGGCAGACACACAAACTAAAAGTCATTGTGGGAATACAGGAAAGCTAAGTTGGGGAAGTGCCACATCTAAAGTGAGAATAAATATTATAAATGCAATGCATTAAGATTTCAACAGGGCAGCGTAAACCTGGGGGTAGGGGGAGAATAGCATGAGCAAAGACACAGCAACCAAAAAAATATACTTACCTTGTATTTCAATAGAAATGACCAATGCTAGACTTAACATTGCTTTTAGGCAGTAGAGTCAAAATCTGGTTTCACCTAGCTTAACAGCAATTAGAAGAATATTTAAGCACATGCTTGTTAGATACTGTTGAATTGGTCCCAACTCAGTAACCCCATGTGACAAAGTAGAACTTCCCCATTAGGATTTCCTTGGCTGTAATCTTTTTGGAAGCAGATCAACAGGTCTTTGTTTTTGGAAACAGATCCCATGAAGTAGCTTGATGGATTCTAATCACCAACGTCTTGGATGGCTGCCAAGCCCGTAAATGTTTGTGTCATCAGAGATCCTTCAGAGCACACGCTTGCTTAGACTCATCAATTAATGGTAAGTGGTTAGAGGTTATTTTGAATGACAGCCTTCTGTTTCTCTCCTTTCTTTGCTCTTTCCCTCTCCTAAACCTCGTTTAAATCTTTACAACAAACGTTACATTATACTTGTGTATATGGCTCTCTCCATAGCTAGATATTATAAATCTAAAGGGCAGGATGCATGCCCTAGCCATCACTTATATATCACAGTACCTAATGAAGCACTTGTAGTTTCAATAAACATTTATGGAATTTAATAAAATCTGATTTGTACTTAGACAACCTGGACTGTGGTTAAAACTATATGGTTAGCAACCCAGGCATTTCCTTGATAGAAAAGGAAAATGTAACGCTCTGAACAAGGTAAATCTATGGGCATATAGTCAGTGATATCAAACTTACATAAAGTTTATTCTTGATTATTAAAACATCTTCAGCAGATGGCAAGGAAGCTCTTTATCATTTTCAGATTTTGAAGAGGCATTCATAACTAAGAAATTTCATAATTTTTAATGTTGTTGTTGTTGTTATTTGCCGTCGAGTCGGCCCCGACTCATAGCGACCCCTCCTTGGGTTTCCGAGGCAGTATCACTACGGAAGTAGGATTGCCCAACCTTCCTTCCAAGGAGTGGCTGGTGGGTTTGAACCGCCAGCCTTCTGGTTAGCAGTCAAGTGCCTTAGGCACTACAATCAAAAATAAATCAATGACAAATCTAAGTCAAAACTATGTAAAATACATATAAATATAATAAATATTCTGCCTTCTTCAAAAATAACCTGTTTTCCTTTAAAAACAAAAAGCTACTGTGCAATATTTGGGTAAGTCTCAAAAATTAGTGAGCTAATATCTTTAAAAGCATAACTAGTTTATCTAAAAGAATGTTTTAATGAATAAATACTTGAGTCTTTAGGAAGTTATTGAGAAACACAAAACAGAATTTCAAGTACTTTATTGTAAATGTCATATTTGCATATGTATATATACACAAATTAAAAAAAACTAATGAAATTCATTAATAAACCTATTATTAAACTTTATTATGAAAGGTTATGAAAAATTTTAGTGTTTAAAATTTTACTGTCTATATAATTTCTTCCATAGTAACAATTTCTTTTTTTTAACACAGCTGGGAAGATAACTCACAGATACCATACTAACTTTTTAGTATTAATCTAAGAAAATCTTTTCTTCTTTTCTCCAGCCTAGTTCCTTTGAAAATACTAGTGACAACAGAGACATGATCCAGCACAACTTAGTAAATGTAAACATTCTAAATGATATTAATAGTAAACTTTGAAAATTCAGATTTTAGACTTAAAGTGCTCATGAAATTCTTAAGTGGTTTTATTAACAGCTCAATTGATTAAAGTAGTATAATTTTTCCTGCTTTATTAAAGCCATGAATCAACAGTATCAGATTAGATCTATTAAATACTTCGTACCTTAAATCTTATAATTTATTCAAAATAATTATGCTATTGTAAAAGGATGCCATGCTTTAACATGATTCATAATAGAAATTCTAGTATTAAATTAATTTTTCTAATATTCATTGTCTATAGCTGAAGATCATAAAAATGTATGTGTGAACACACACACACATGCTTTTAGAGTATTTTATTCTTTTAAAATAATATTATGACATCGTAATTGTGGTTCTTCTATAATCTTCTAAAGACAACAGTGATGAATGTTAGTCCACGCAAGATGAAAAATATTAATTATTGGCAGCTAATGAGTCCATTTTCACAGGTTTTAGACTATCACCTGTTCAAGCACAATCTACACTAATAATAACGAAAGTCAAAAATTCAGAATAACATTTAAGCACATAATGACAAAACTTAATCCAACGCAGGTAATTTGAGAATCATTACAATCTCATATTCAAAATAACATAATCCATGTTAAGTGCACTGACCTCATAGATGACCTAATAATGATTATTCAGTGATAGAAATGGAAACTTTATTCCAAATTCCCTGGCTTTAATGCATTTCTTTATATTTCTCAATTCCCAGTACATGGTTCCTATTTTTCTGTTAGTAAAGTTTATTTCACGGTATTTTGTTTTCACTCACAGTTGCAGCAGGAAGAAAAGTTTATTATGAAAACATCAGGAAAAAAATATATATTATTAGCTCAGTTCCCTGAAGACATCAGCAAAAAGAAGGTGAAAATATCAAGTAAGTGAACTATATAAAGGAGGTGCAGGAGCACGTCGAGCAGGAATTAAATTTCCCTGAGATGATACTTTCGGTTGTGGTGGAGGTGGCCTGTTGGGGAGAGGGGAAAAGACAGTTAATCGTCTGTTCATACTGAATGCAATAATGTGATACTGGATACAAGTTCAACATAAAACTATCCATAGCATCTCTGACAACAGTTGAAGCTACTTCATATTCTGAGATTACTATTTGTTACAGATTAAATTGTGCCCCCAAAAAATGTATGTTGTAAATTCTAACTTCTATGGCTGTGGTTATAATCCCATTTGGGAATGGGCTGTCTTTGTTATGTTAATGATGCAGGATTAGTGTAGGGTGTGCCTTGAGTGAATCTCCTTTGAGATATAAACAAGCTGGTGGAAAGAAAAGCTAGCAAAGGTTGAGAAAGACTGATGCCAAGCAACAAGGAGATCTCCAAGGACCAGGAAACAAGCTAAAGAGCCAAAGATCTTCCCCCAGAGCTAAAACAAACAGAAAGCCTATCCGTAAAGCTAGAGTCCTGAATTTGGACTCCTAAATTGTGAGAAAATAAATTTCTGTTTATTAAAGTCACCAACTTGTGATACTTCTGTTAACAGCAGCACCAGATAACTAAGATACAATTAATATATTATTCATATTAATATTCATTAATTCATAATTTGTTATCAGACATAGATGGCTCCTGTTTTGTATCTAGCTGGTACTATAAATACCACTAATCTACAATCCTTGATTTTGGAATTCATGATATTCTTCCCTAACAAGGTAGTTGAACTAGTTTAACAACAATGATATTCAAAAGGGTGCCAATCTGAGTCTAAAATGGAATCATTACCTCCTGCTTTAAATCAATGTTATTCTGTACGAACAACGTTGCATGAAGGTTCTACATTACATGTTTTAAAAAAGAATAGCACAGGATATTGTAAAGTCAAATTATAAGAGACAAATGCAGAACATTAAGAATATAAGGACAGCAAATTACGAAGTATAAAACTAGCTCTATGTTTGCAGACACAGAGCTGAACTTCCACTAACTTCAAACATAATATACAGTCTGAAAATCAAATTTGCTATTCTTTCTACACCTGTCCATTTTAATCCTCACATTTTCACCTATGGACACCTTCATTAACTTTTCCTCCCTTTTTGTTGTTATGTGCCGTCAAGTCAGACCTGACTCATAGCAACCCCTCCTTGGGTTTCCGAGGCAGTATCACTACGGAAGTAAATTGCCCAACCTAAGTATACTTCTATTCCAATAACACACTAGTGAGTATCTATCTCATAATTTCTTCTCTTGACCCTAATGTACTGTTGTTGCATAATAAAGACTATATATGAATACACTCTTCAGTGTTACAATCCAATTGTAATTAGAGGGACTTGTTTGTTTTTTAGTGAAGGTGGTGGTGGTAGTGCATTTTATGTGATGCAAAATGTAGTAAGAAATTTTCTCCTTCCCTACTAATTTTAAACCCATCCATTGAGTCATTAAATTTCTGTTCTTGTGTTTTTCAGTTTTGGAATTTTCATTTAATCTTTTTATAGTTTCTAGTCCTCTGCTGAAATTCTCAATCTTGACTTTTAATTCCATAGACATATTTATCATAGCTGTTTTAAGGTCTATGTCTGATAACTCTATTAACTATATACCCTCTGAGTCTATTTCTATGATTTGTTTTTCTTGGTTTTAATCCCATTTTCTTTTCTTATATGACTGGCTTTTTTAATTAAGAATCAATGAAAAAGTGTAGAAAAAAGTTGAGGCTCTAGTTTATATATTTACCCCTGGGTCCCAACAAAAATTCTGAGATGTTTGCCAGGCTTCCTTCTCCTTTGCAAGAGTCTACATTTCCCTTCTCTCCCTTGTGAGTTTATTGAAATCTGTCACTTTCAGAATAGGAAGAGGCACTAAGAACAGAAAAGTAGCCCCAAAAGCTAAGCTTATCTCTAGGTTTCCTTCCTGTCTGCCCAATAATTCCTCATTTTGTTGGTAGCTTGCCAATGCCTTCAAACACATATTCTCTTATATTGCTAGCATTACTAGTTGTCCTCAATGGGATGTCTAATTCAAACCATCTAGTCTCCTATTGCTGATTATTTTAAAACTTTTCACTTCTGAATTTTATCTATAACAAAGGCTGCAAGCAACAGTTGATTTTTGTCTTGCTCAAGTTCTGTTATTTCATATTGACACTGTACTAATAAGACTAAACTTACGTAAAAGTTCCTCAAAAGCCTTTCTGTAAATAGTATTCTCAAAATTGCTGGCAATAAACATCTTCCCCTAAATTCAATAGAAATACAAAGGAAATTCTTAGATATTAACTCATGTTTTTTACGTAGAACAAGTACTCTAAACAAATTCACTTCAGACCTTGATGGGAACTGCTGAGGTTGCTTGACTGCATAGGTTGGTACTGGAAATCTATTTGCATACACAGGCTAAAAAGGAAAAAAAAAAAAAAAAAGTTATTACCATAATGTTCTCATAAATGATCTCCATATAATGTGTTATTTTCTAATAAAGTAATGAATAAACTTAAAATCACTGAATGAACTCCTTTCTTATAATGCTGACATTTAAAAATATTTTGCTTATTCAGCATATCTTTAACAGTGAAACTGAATACTTAATTCTTTGAAGGCTGGATTTTTTAAATTAAATAATATTAAAGTATTATAACCTTGGTTCAAATCAATTCATTAGTTAAAAGGTAACATATTTCTTAAGTCAATATATTTTAAATAAAGTCTTCCAAAAATTTGTTGTCAAACCTAGATAGCTTCCATTTTGTATCTAACTGTACTGGAAATACCATTAATTTATAATCCTTGATTTTGTAATTCATAGTATTCTTCCTTGACAAAGTAGATGAAATAAAGTTTTACAACAAAGTAAGATTGTATAACATACCACCAGGTAAGAAAGAAAAAATACAAAATATTTCCCATACTATGTTACATTAGGAAAACTTACAAAAGATCAGATGAAATTTCTAAAACATTAATGAAATGACTGTAAGCAAGATGTTCTCTACTATCTTGTTAATACCTAAAGTTCTGTGAAAGGCTGAATATGCAGACTGCTGAGGAAAGGCTTAAGCACTCTCTGAGTCCTGGCATGGAACAGTAATCTATCATCTACTATTTTTTGCCCCACAGAATGATATGCATGTACTGTAAAAATAGAGAAGATATCCAAGAAAATGTCTGTATCCCTTCCAGAAAGCCATAGGAGAAGCACTTTAATAAAAAGACAGTTAAAAAGAAGAGTCTATTCAATAAATGAGAAAATTGGATTTCCACATGTAAAAAAAATGAAAACAAAATCCATGCCTTACACCATACACAAAAATAACTTCAGATGGATTAACATATGTAAACTAAAACCATAAAATTCTTAGATGAATGAGCAGGGACAACACTGTTAGGCCTAGTTTTCAACATGGATTATCCAATAAAATAAGCAAAAGCCCAAACAGTAAAAGACAAAATAAACCAACGAGACCTAATAAAAATTAAAACTTGCTCAAAAAAAGATTTCACCAAGAGAAGTGGTCCAAGATGGCAGCTTAGACACTTCATGATGTCCCTCTTACAACAAAGACCCCAAAACACAAGTGAATCACACAGAAAATACAACTTTGGAACCGTGAGCATCAAAAGCAAGGCTGATGAATCAGACTGAGATATGGTCCCTGGTCATTTGGGTGGGGTACCCACATGGTAGGGAAGGTCGATAGAGTGGCAGCTGGAGACACTGGATTCCAGGCGCCACCCCCTTCACTGAGTTGGGACAGGAGCCAGATGACCAGCTATACTTACATAGGAATATACCAGTGACAATGCTGGTGACCTACAACTGGAAAAGTGCACTCTCCTCTCTTAATCCCACACAACCTCCCAATAAATAAAGGCACGGTCCCCCCAGCACCTCTCCCTGCAGTTGGTGAAGTCTTCCTAATGCACATCCCCTATCTGATGTTCTGCATTGTCCACCCCCCTACACACAGCTCCCACACTCGTTGCTCCATAGCTTCAACAGCCTGAGAAGCCCTCCCATGAATTGGGGACTATACTCTCACTGCCATCTCTACTATTAGCAGTGTGGATCAGGTGCTGCACCCCTGCCACCACCACGTTTGATGGCTAATGCTTACACTGACACAGCAACACTTTTTTTTTCTTCCCTCTTCCTCCTTTTTTCTTCCTTTCCTCTTATTTCTTCCTTCTTGCCCCTTCATTTTTCTTCCTTCTCCCTCCCTTTTTCCCCCCTGTTAACTGGGAGACAGTAACTCCACCCAGCCATACCCACCACATCTGCCATACTGAGTGAGTATCAACACCTATTACAGCACTACTGGATTGACAACAGATGGCAGTGGACACCTGCCCAGCCTTTCCTCAGCTGCTCTACCAAACAACGATCAGAGACTCGTACCCACACTCCCCCCTCACTGACAAATCCACTCAGACACAGATGGTGAGCACCCCAGTGATCCAAATGAGCAACCAGAGTAGCATCCCCACCCTGTTGCCTAGATATATTTTTTAAAAAGCAACCTAAAAAATCAGGTGAATCAAACCAACATACAAGCAACAAATTAATACAATAATACCACAATGTCTCAGAGACAATAGATAACTTCAAATCACACACACACACACACACACACACACAAATAATGGGACTAAATGGCTCAAGCAATTGACCAACAATACAGGGCCAGAAAATCTTCCAGAAAAAGAACGGGTATTGGATCTATCTGATAAGGAATTCAGAAGAATTATATTTAGGACCCTTCAGCAGATTGAGAAAGCAATAAAGGAAAGAAAAGACAACACCAAGGAAATCACAGATAAAATCAAGGGAAATAGATAAACAAAATAATACAAGAACAAATTGACAAAATAAGTAAGACAATCTGAAACCATACAAACACAGCAAATAAAAATCCAGAACAAAAATTCATTGGAAGAGCAAAGATGTATAATTGAATCAATGGAAGACAGAATCAGTGAAACTGAAGACAAATCCCTTAATTCTAATGTATTAGAGGAACAATTTTTTTAAAAAAAGTGAATAAAAATGAAGAAATTCTAAGAATTAAGTGAAACACCATCAAGAGGAGTAACACATGTAATCAGCACTCTAGAACAAAAAGAGACCAAAAAAAAAAAAAGCACAGAGAAAATTGTCAAAGATTCACTAGCAGAAAACTTGCCTAATATCATGAAAAATAAGAAGATACCCATTTAAGAATCTTAACAAATTCCAAATAGGACAGACCTCAAAAGAAAATCACCGAGACATATCGTAATTAAACTTTCCAAAACTGAAGACAAAAAGACTTTACCAATAAAGTGAAAAAGCAAGCTACCAACTAGGAAAGTATCTTTAAAAAAACCATATATCCCAATGTGAATCTAATAATCAAAATACATATAACACTTTAACAACATAACAACAAAAAAGGCAACTAACCCAATCATAAAATGAGCAAATGACTTATATAGATACCTCACTAATGAGGATACTCAAATTGCCACCAAACACGAGAGAAGATGCTCAATGTCATTAGCTATCAAAGAGATATAAGTAAAAACAATAATGATATACCATTTTACTCCCACTAGGATGACTAAGATTAAAAAGAAAAAAACAGAAAATAAAAAATTTTGGACAGGATATGGAAAAATTAGAACACTTCTCCATTGCTGGTGAGATTGCAAAATGGTACAGGCATTGTGGAAAACAGTGGTAGTGCCTCAAAAAACTAAAACTAGAACTACCATGTGATTCAGCAATTCCATTGCTAGGTATATACACAAAAGACGTGAAAGCAGAGACTCAGAAGGATACTTATACAACAATGTTTATTGCAGCACTATTCACAGTAATTGAAAGTTGGAACAACCTAAATGCCCATGAACAGATGAATGGATAAACAAAATGTGGTATATACACAGCATGGACTACTACTCAGCCACTAGAAGAAATGAAGTCTTGATATATGGTACAGTATGGATGCAACATGAAGATACTATGCTGAGCAAAATAAGCCAATTGCAAACTGGTAAATATTGTATGACCTCACTTACAGAAAAAGAAAAGAAAAGGCAAATGTGTAGAGACAAAAGTTTATTAGTGGTTACCAGGGCTGAGAGGGAAGGGGAAAAGGAAAAGGGGTTTAAGAGTGATAGAAGAATCATACTGATTAAGGGTAGGGTTGCACAGCCAATTACTGTAATTGCTGTCAATAAGTAACACACTGGTAGAAAGGTGATTTGCCAAAACTTGTGTGTAAATTCTACTTTTTGGAATTTATCTGACAGATGTGTTTACATGTAAGCAAAGATATATATGTGCAAGGATGCTTGATGCAGCATTTTTGTGGTAACAAGACTAGAAATTAACTTTTTAAAATTAGGTAAAAGCCATAAAATGAGATGGCATGCAACTTATAAAAAATAATGGGGTACATGCTCATTACTGGCAAACTGTGGACCAAATGTCCTGAGAAAACTTTCCAATATGGGAGCTCTGGTGGTATAGTGCCTAAGGCATTTATTTGACTGCTAACCAGAAAGCTGGCCATTCAAACCTACTAGCTACTCCAATATAGAGCACCTAAAATGCTGGTTAAAATATTATAAAGGTATTCCTTTTAATATTTAGCTCAATTGTTGAAGAAATGAGAAAAATCTTAAAAGCCAAAAAACAACAAGAAATTATGAAAATGTACAGACTATGGGGCAGCATTTTCCCTGTGAACATAATCTCATCTTTGGTGGACTAAAGTATGTACTTTCAGGTACCACACAGAGAAAGCATATAAAACTCATGGTCTGAGTTAGATGAAAAGCTCAGTATAAGACCTTCTATAGAGCCCAGACTTCTGAAGAATAATATCCTGCACTGGGTTAGTTGCAAATATAAACACCTGTACACAGGAAGGACTCGGTCCTATAGCTGCCTAGATTTGCCTTGATACTGGTAAAAGAGGAATATATATTAAAAAAGAAAAAACCTTCCATAGAAAATTTCTAATCACACACCCACTGTCATGAAGGGCTTAGTGGACAAAGTTTATATAATACATGTGGCAAAAAAAAAAAAAAAACAACTAAACTTTAAAGACATCAAAAATTGTCTATGCCCCCAAGTATCTGGCCAAGAAAAATAAACACTTTCTGCAGGAAAGGACTATAATTCAGGACTCAAATAATTCCTGCATATTAACTTCTAAGAAATATGAATTCACAGTCAATATAAAAAACACAGAAAGAAACACCCCACTATGAAAGAGTCAACAGACAACAGACAACAAACCTCAGACATTAGAATTACCAGATAATGCATATAAAGTAGCGGTGTTTCATATGTTAAAAGAAATAAAAGCTTTAAAAATATAATGAAGCTCAGGAGTTCTGGTAAGATG